AGTGGTGGTTGTAGTAGTGGTAGTAGTGTGGTAGTAGTGGTAGTGGTAATGGTAGTGGTGGTGGTAGTAGTAGTAGTGGTTGGTAGTAGTAAGAGTAGGAGTAGGAGTAGTAGTAGTAGTAGCAGCAGCAGGAGTTCTAGTAGTAGTAGTAGTAGTAGTAGTTGTTGTAGTTGTAGTTTAGTAGTAGTAAGAGTAGTAGGAGTAGTAGGAGTAGTAGGAGTAGTAGTAGTAGTAGTAGTAGTAGTAGTAGTAGTAGTAGTGTAGAGGCAGTGGCAGGATGAGTCGTGACATCGTAGGCTTGTCTTAGCCACCTTCTGTAACCTAACCTAAACCTTAAATCCTCAACCCGAAACCCAAGGTCCCCAAACCCGAAGCCCAAAACCCTAAAACATCAAAAGCTCCAAACAACTCGGATATCCCGGTATAGAACCCTTATCGCAATCCTCGGTATGCGTGATAGCCACGGTTGTAGACCTACAGCCCGTGAAGACATCCTTACACCATTGAGCAGCTTGGTTGGCTGTGCAAGAACGTGGGAGGTCACTGGTAGATCGCATCGCATCGGGTGGGAAGTAGTGCGCCAAATTGAGACTAGTCTGTCCAGCAATTGGGATGATACCGGACTCGAAACAAGTTAGCCCGCTTTTGCCGAGGTGCTCATTCCTGGAGGTGGTGCAATGTCACGTAGAAGATCGGCGATGGCTGGCGAAAGTTTACATTGGAGGATGCAATACATGTGGTGCACATGTCTCCCAGGTGACCGCAATCTACTTTTGTGAACATCACCATTGCACCGACATGTGCGAAATCACACACGAGATGATGTGTTACCCCAGATTTGCAGCATCCACACCGACGTGTACTGCAGCCGACAAAGCGATCTGCCGAACCTGTCCTTCCCGGACAGGGGTCCTTGCAGTCCCAAGCCCAAAATCCCTTCTCTTCTTACCCACCTTCCTGCGACTCTGCTGGAAAGGCGAGTCGTGGTGGAACCTCCAGAAAGCCATTGCCTGTGCTGGCTGTCCCGACATGCTGCAGCTCCAGCTCTATCCTGCCTATTGCGCCTCCGCCCTTTTGCAATTGCGGATGGGAGCCCTTCAATTGCCGTGCTCTGATACAGGACGACAGCATGGACGGCACTTTGCTGCAAACGTCTTCCTCTCATTCACAGAAGCGCAATACATGAATGTGAGCCGCCAATGCAGAATGTGCTTAGTCCTGAACACAAGCGCCCGCACCGCACACCAAAGCTCCCAATCCCCGAAGGCCACCTGCGCAGCTTGCTTGCGGTGCTGCAGGACGGAACACGCCAGCGCGGCTGTCCCCTGAGTTGCGGCAGAGTTGAGAGGCTCGGGATCCCGAGTGCGGATTTCACCATCCAGCAGCGTAAGGCGACTCTGAAGGGTTGGGTGTTGCGGAGTCACGGCATGCTGGGGAAATGTGTTTATATACACTGCCATCATGTGTTTATGTATACTTCCTTCAGACGTTGCTTTTGCTTTCCGGGACTCGAGAAAGGCTCAAGCGAAAGCTAGTGAGGATACGCCAGCATCTTAGCTACACCATGGCAGATGGAAGCCCTCGTTCGTCTGCAGGAGTGTGCCTTGCATAAACAGCAAACCCTGACTTTGGTCGAATCCCCTGCGCAAGCTTGTCTTCGAAGTCGCCTGCCAAGTATGTCGATGCCAGCCACGCCTAGGATTTGGTTTTAGGGTTTTCATTGGCACTTCGTAGTGCTAAGTGCCTCGAGAGGCCTGCAAGCTGAAATCTATCAACATTGAGGACGGTAGTTGCCAACTGGCAATGCTTCGCACAGTCGGCTGAACTGCTGCGCCGATCTTTGAACATCATGTCGGCGTTTCAAGAAGACTGTAGTCGCAGCTCATGTCTCTGTCTCCTTTATTACTATTGATATTGACGCAGCAGCAACGATCACTGGTACGGCATCGCAAAGCGCGAGTTCCTGGTACAGTACACTTCGGGAACCGGGCACTGTCAACCATGCAAATCTGTAGCCAAAGGGAGGAAGACGTTTCGATACCGACAGCAAGGTTGCGAAGTATGCTGTGCACCTGACGAAGCCATCGTGAAGCACTGATTCGTCGTGAACAAGCCAAGGCGCGCTGGCATCTGCTGAGGAGCACCTCAGCTTCTGGACTTCAGTCTGGCGTTTTCGCAATTATGCAGCAGAGCTGGATCCCCTACATGCGATTGATGGGCAGGTCAAGAGACAAATCTGGCTCTCGTAGTGAGAACCATTCGACGGAACAATCTAGCGTACGTTTTATGTACACATGGACACATTTTCATATCTCAAAAAATACAGATGCATCAGATAGTCTTCGTCATTGTCTGTGGCTACAGCCTATGCAGCACACCAACAGCCAGACAAATAGACAGACATACAGACAGACCAAGAGGCAAAAACACATACATATACATATGTATATAGGTATATTGCATATATATATATATATGCATAGTTGTATATAATGTATACAAACACACATACATATATAAATATCGACATACATGCAAACATCCAGACATGCATATGTGCACGCATGCATACGTACGTGCATACATGCCTGCTTAACTGAGCTTGTCTGAGTCGTACATGCCTGCTAAACGATCAAACGAAAACGAATTTGACATATACAACTATGTGTATACGGCATTCCCTTGAACACCTGGTGTCATAGGTTGACTCACCGACACATAGTCAATCGACACTCACCAAGTCGAAAGGTGGCTTACCTGTGCTGCATACTGTGCAACCCAGCGTGGTGCAATGAAATCCAGGCGCGGTGATGGTGCGCAAAGAAGGAATGCCTGCATCAGATTTCTTTTACAAAGCTGGACGGGATTCGTTGGACAGTGCACTTCAATGCAACACCTCAATCTGTCACTCATCATGCATAGCTCAAGTCTTCCGGCCAGGGAAAGGCAGACTTCCAGCCCGATGTGGATGTATTTCCTAAGAAACAACGACAAAGCATGACAAAGCGATGCCTCTCTCGTCTTCCCCTGAACAGATCTGCGGCGCATAAACTACTGCCGCAAGGTTAAACATCTGGCTGCATGGTCCGCGTTGCCTCTATGAGCTGCTCCGGCCTCAGCGACGTCACGAGGCCTGAGAGGAGAGCAGGGTCTTGAAGAAGCGGATGCGAGCTTTGAGCAACAGCAACAGCCGCCTGTTCTTGCAGTCGGGTCGGCACATAAACCGAGTCTTCCAAGCAGTGGCATGCTAGTTCTTGCACTCCCTTTAGTTAAGACAGCCTGACAGGCTCTGGCCCCCATTGCAGGCTTGTAAAACAGTTGCCCTTTTTTAGTATCGTAGAAATCACGAGAACAGAGGCTTACGCAACACCTTAGTCACTAGTCACTCGCCTGAAGCTCACCGGCAACTAGAAGCACGTCGGGAGCCGATCTGCCTCGCAACTTCATGCTCCAGAAGAGTCGCCCTGCGACAGCGAGACCCCCTTAGAGCAAACCGCGGAAATGCTGAACCGGATGCGGCTCATCAGGCTTCAGAAGAACCGAACTTGCGAGACAAGAGTGCGATCCCTCGAGACCAGGCCTGACCTTTGGCGACAGCGCAGCATGTGCTGCACCAATTGCTTTCTGACGTGACCTTGGCTCTAAGCCGCCTAAGCTGTGCAAATCCCCAAACTGAGCTTTCCGTCTCAGGGGCCGTTCTGCAGGCTCGCCATCGCACCCTCAGCGTCCACCGCCTCAATGGGCTGGCGCTGTGCCTTCAGGCCAGGTTGTTGACAGGGCCACAAGATGCTTTCCGCAAGATATAGGGCTCGAACAGAAAAGTACTGCTCCCACAGATATGAGGCCCTCTGCAGTGTCTGGGCAGTGGCTCACTACGGAACATCAAAAGCCTGTGCCAAGGAGCGGCGACATGTGGACAAGTGCGCATGCAAACCACCACGGAACATTTCACAGTGTCATGAACTAGTCGATCACACACCGCAGTAAGTCAACTCCCCACAACTGCTCTCTCCCACGGATCGAAACACACATGTTCATGCTGCAGCGATATCAACCTGGCATTCCAGCACACCTCCGCTCGACTGGTGCGTGCTTTCAACCGTACTTTTGCCTGACCCTCTTGGTGGATTACAACACCCCGGTCTTGAGGGCCACCAAATGTCCAGGAGAGTGTGCGGTCATGTGAACCGGTTCTTGCACTATCAACATTTTCATGATTTTATCGGTCTGCGGTTGCATCATCCTCTCGCTAGTTCGCTTCGTTATGTTCTGCTGGTGCCCCATCAATACAATGCTCTTGGCGAATTCATCGTGCAATGCCAATGCACTGGAATGCTGGTGTTCTCTTGCTCACAAGGTTTTCCCTCGTGGCTGCAGCACGAGAGTTGCCGTCGCTGTTAAAATATTCGCTTCTGAGGATCCATGCGATGAACCGCATGTTCACTCCAGCATTCCAAACTGGGGGGGGGGGGCAGTGGTCTTGCATACCATAGTGGTACAATCCATTGTTGCTGTTACTGTATTCTCGTATCGTTGTATGCAGTCCTCCGATGAATTTGCAAGGAACTTACTTAACATCCGTCTTCATCATCTCAGGCTGGTGCAACACTCAAGTTTGTCTTGGCTGCTGTACTACAATGCCATCATGTTACTGCGTTGCACTCCCTCGCCAATGTGCTGCCATAGCGGTGGTCACCTCACTGTTGCATTCTCGGGCCTTCAAAAGGCACCGCGCTGAAGGGTGTCGTGCAGGCAGCACCAGGCGGTCGTAGAAGACCTGGATTCGCTTGCGGGAGCCATGTTTCGTAGTCAAGCTCATGTCAAACGAAATGCCGCATGCTGCCTCTTTCTTCCGCACCTCTTTGTTCAATCGAGCCCTGAACCCAGATCCCGAAATTCATACTAGTTTGTAGACTTGAACTCAACTGCACGGAGCCCCCGCCTGGCATTCGCCGCACTCGTGCTTGAGAGGGTAGGGCCTCGGTGAAAAATGCTGGCCAGGGAGAGTCCCTTTGAGAATCTTTGAGATTTTCTGCTGTGAGAATTGACTCCAAGTCGAAGCTCTCCTTGAAAGATCTCCGGCAGACCTTGTTGGTTCAGGCTTTCCGAATTGAAGACTAGCCTCGAGCTGCGTGCAATCCTTCTGTTGGCCGGGTGGATTCGCCATAGTGCCATAGTGAGGCCAGTATGCATCTTCAGCTGGGATGTGGCCCGAAAACATGAGGCAACGATGCAAGATTGCCGATCACTGTTCGGCGTGCCTGTCCCCTTATCTATGCCTGTCTCCATGTATATGCGTGACTACGCACTTGTGCAGCTACGCACGTTTGTTGCATGCTGTAGAACCATGCCAATGTAGCACGGAACGGTAGCACATTTGCTGCGACGTACAGTCTATCTGTCATGCGAACAGGGAGTGTTGCTGCATGAACCGTGCTAGCATAAGCAATAGTACTAGAATTGGAACTGATACCGCATGCCAGTTGTTTACTCCTGTCAGCATGTTGGGTTCACATTTGAGTTCTGCCGTTCGGTGTGGCTTCTGCCCGTGCCATGTGTTCGTTTTTGAATCCGTTTCACATCGCCTCAACATTCGGACTGATGAGTGCTACCAAAAGCATGTTTTCCTTGGTAAGAGCAGACATAGCACTTGCCAGGCTATCAGCCTGCTTCCTGTCTCAGCGGTTCTCCTAGAGGTTAGGTTTGCTGAGGGTACTAGTTACTTGTATTTAAGCTTCGCCTCGACCGAAGGATCTGACATCCACGGTCAGCATTTGACACTCGTATGATCACAGAAGTGGTCATACCACTCCAGTGGTTGGCTCGGCAAATCGCCTTCTAGATGGCTAAAGCAGAGACTTTAGCCGCAGAGCCAGAGCGAACGGTCAGGTCTACATCTGTGTTTCCAAACTTGAATGGACTGCGATGTGTGTGCTGCGGCATCTCAGGTTCTTGCGGCAAGGGCTGTGAAGCATTCAGCACCAGCGCAGCCGCACAAGCCATTGCACATCTGTCCAAGTGCCCAGTTCCCGGCCTGGCTTCGGCTTGGGGACTCATGAAGTCTTCCGCTGCAAGCATCCCTAGAAGCCAGTACGAACCAGATCTGGGCTGATATGACGCCTTATATTTTGGCAGAACTCGTGCTCCTGGCAGTCTGCACAGGATCTAGACTGCGAAGGCTGGCTGAGCGGAGCGCTGACGCCTAATTTAGCTCGAGAGTCGAAGCATGCATTTGGGCCGCAGAGTCAAGCAGTTGAGGCCTGCTGGCTGAAGTGTCAGTCCTGGACCTTCATGCGTAGAGAGATGCTCTGAAGTTTCTGTGAACCTGTCATCCCGAAGTGTAGGGGAGAGGGAGAGAGAGAGAGAGAGAGAGAGGTAGAGGGAGAGGGAGGGAGGGAGAGAGGGTAAGATGGTGTGTTTTACAACGCATGGCCATCAACATTCATGAGAGCAACAGTCGCCGGTGCCACATACAAGCCAGCCTGCCCAACGGAAGACAAAGCTGGCACTGGCAGAGGTGCTGGTTGGAGGCTGTAGATTGGCATGCTGTCACCGTATTTCCGCGACGCGGCAGATGTTCTCGTGATGGTCGTTGTGGCACTTCCCCACTGCATAAGTGAAGCATCTGGCAAGCAACCCGATACGGTCGAGGTAAGTTGAGGTTGAGACATGCTCGATGGCCAGGAGGAGTAATTAGCGGTGATGGCGGTGGTGGTGGTGGTGGTGGTGGTGGTGGTGGTGGACGTGATGGCCGTTGATCATGTGTCACGTGTCCCCGCTGTGACAGCACGTTGAGCGACTTTGGATGTTAGCAGCCTTCACGATGACTCTGCTGACAGTAGAGCCCGCTCCCATCCATGTGCTCGATGCATTTGCTCGCGCGACAGCCAGGAATGAAAATTGGTGCCCTCGGTTTCCGGTTCTGTTCTTAACACCTTTTCTTGACGACGTTCCGTCGTCCAGAGCCGCGTCAAGAGAAGGTAAGAGGGTAAACAACCCTAACTATGTCTACGAACGATTACGGAAGCTGTGGTTTACTATTGGCGTCTGCGTAGTCTTGCCAGGATTGAGACTAAGGAACCAACGACGTTCTGCCCTTCTGTACCCTTGGAGCTGCCTTTGCAGCACACCGGTGTGGTAGCAGCATGTGTGCTGTACAGAAGGAAACGCTGAGGGTTCCCTGGAGGCTGAAAAGTTTTGCAAAGGGAACAGCAAGTTTTTCAATGCGCTGAACAAATTCTAGCGCAAGGAATCTTGCTGTGCTACACGCCCCTGCCAACGCTAGCTGGAGCGTGTGGAACTTTCCAAAACTTTCTGGACATGCTTGGGGCGGGGAAAGGTGCTCAGAAGCCGGCTTGCTTGAAGACCTGCACAGCCATAGTGGTGATGGCAGCTACACTGCAGGACAAAAGAGTTACCGGGAGGACAAACACCAGCGCCACGAGCACTAAAGGGCCACAACACAATCATGTTCACAGAACTGCTGAGAGTACAAGGACAATGTCAGCTGCGGCAATGGCAGCGCAGTAACACCAACATCCAGGCAAATTCAAGCATGAAGCACCATGAGAAGAACTCCAAGCAACATCATGCTTTCTCTCTTCGAGCCTTGAGTGCTTGAGTCCCCACCGCAGAGATCGCCTGCCCTGAATCTTGTCGGCAAGACATCTACAACCACCCGACTGGTCCGCGGATTAGGTTGCTCATCAATTGGAGAGTTGGTCTGCAACTTACAACCTGTACAAAAAGGGGGAAATGCCAAGAAGCCTGAAACAGCCCCTCAACCGAACCTCCTTGCAGCTTGAGGCTTGAGAACCGTCCTGATTCCAGAAACTGGAATTCTAAGAACGCCGGAATGCGAAGCACCCTAATATAGCACCCTAAATAGTAGGATCCTTATTATAAGGACCCCAAAATAAGGTAACCCCCTGGACAAGACATGACCAAACATTAAAGCCCACCTCCGCAGGCGCTGCTGCTTCTGGGCAGGTCTCCGCGATTTGCCGCAGCTTGGCTTGGTCCTGCAACGATATGGGTAGTTGTCAAAATTAGGGTCCCTTTTGGGGTACCCTAAATAATAGGTGCCGTGTTATAATAAAGGACCCAAAATTCTGCCGTCTTAACTGGGAGACTTATGCTGCACCTGATGCTCAAGACCATGCCGAAGTGGGCTTGCCAGTAACGAGCCACGTTCCAGGAAGGCAAAGATTAGAATGTGAAATCCCTGATCCCTGATTGCCGCTACTGTAGCCTGATGCCAGAGCCCAAGAGCTCTCAACGTGAGCCGAGTGTCTCAACTTCCCTGAACGATTCGGATTTCTCGTGCCTCCGGTCCGGGGCCCGGTGAGCCCATGAGCAGGACCCCGACCACCTGTGCAGAATGCCTTTTTAAGGCAGTCCACGTGGGCTTCGAGCTTGGGTTTCTTGAGAATCGCCAAGTTCAGGGCATCGAAGGAGTCTTCGCGACGGAATGTAGCTCAACAGCACTTGACACTGAGCATATACCGATACTAGGTGACCCGGGACAAATGCACGAACCGTAAGTTAGTAAGCCCTAAATCCTAAACTCCTCTCTTGCTTAGACTGCTATATTAGGAATGACAGCAACAACGCCGAACTACTGCTGCAGGGGGCCACTCCGAAACTTACACAGTAGGTACAACTATGACTATGACCATAACCATATAACCAGCGAGTAGTGCACGCAAAACACATCAAGGACACGCGTAAAAAGGACTCGAAAGGCAACAGTGACAGCAGCCAGAAACTGCACGAACATTATACTGACAGCCGAGATATCTACAGTGCGAGATTAACAGCAAAACACAGTTGGAATGTTGACAACATGATAGTAGTGTGAGTTGCAAGCACAAGAAGCACATCAGGAGGAGGACCAGGCAGTGCTTTTGCAATGGTGCTGTCATTGGCAATGAGAGCAAACCGTACTGTCGAAATGCACGATGCTGGTGGTGATGGTGTGATGGTGGTCGTCACGTCCGCCACAGTCGAAGCCGACGTCTGCGTGTAGCAGCAATGCTGGCAATATCAAGTCTGTCTCGAAGTGGCAGGCGAATGCCTCTATGACATCATATGGCACCAACATCGAAAAACAGCAAAGACGTAACAACCACAGCTGAGGATAGCAGCAGTATCCCGTGTGTGCTTGTCACTGCTGCTCTCGACTGCTGATCTCCCAGCCTTGCCATCACGCACCCAGACAGCTCCGATCGACCTAAGGCTGAGTGGAGAAGGCGAGACACGGTGATTGCATGGTCGCAGTCATCGAAGGACTTCACAACCGCATCGTTGAGTCCACTGGGTTGCGTGAACTGGACCCTGGCGAATTCCGCTTCCAACATGAGTTCACATGACACTCAGCTCCCAGGATGATCTCAGCTTTCGGCTTCTCAGACAGCTTTGCGACACGAACATCATCCGTCCTGGCTGTCCGGGAGGCAGTGATCTTTGGCTACAGTTTTGAAATCTGCAAAGACTGCTCGGTTTTTTTGTGGCCAAGGGGGCTTAGCATGTCAGCTTGAAAATCTTGTCGGTTGCAGCTTTCAGACTGCTTGCTACCTGTGGCGGGGAGCCGCATCACTCAACTTGACCACCACTTGTTTTGCTCCCGCAATCATGGTCACATCTCGCCATACGGCTCCTGCAAGCAGTTCGGTGATCGCCGCTGGCTTCAAGTTCGAGGGATCGAACGAGCACGCTAGCTGGTCTCCTGACCCGTACCTCAGCCTGAGATCCTTTCAAGTCTTTTTGTCAGTGGCTCGTGCTACCTAGAAAACCATGTGCCGCCACGACTACTTGACAACGCACTGAGCACTGACGAAGGCTTTAATCTCTTGGAGTGGTAACTCCCAAAAAGTGGCCGGTGAGAAGTGAGAAGGAGCGAACAACCTGTTGCAACAGCTGCATCATCCAGGGACCTGAGGACGGGATCCTGCTGTGCTCTGTGGAGAAACATGTATCGGGAAGTGTCCGCATGGGGTGCTGCACAAGCTTCACGCCTCCAGTATGCATGCCTGGGATTGTCGAAACGCACAACCAAACGACTGATGTCCTACTCAAGCAGCAATCCACTCTGTCGGCCACTTCGCGGCATGATTCGGCATGATGGCTTCAGCGGAATGCAACAGCCCATGCCTTCAGCACCGAGCACTACTTCCGAATCGCCATGCGTGGCGACTAGAAGCAGCTCCAACTCGCCTACTCGCTTCATAGCTCGCAGTCGCAGTGAGGCTGAATCTGAGCCCTTCGGCCCTGCCGCTAGTCGTATTCCAGCCTTGCAAATCTAATGGTTGGAGTTGCACGGGGACAGATCTGCCATAGGCTGCCGCATTCCGGTTCCGGCTCAGACCAGGGAAGGTCAAAACCACCTTTCTGCGATTGTGAAACAGCTTTTTACAAGGGAACGCAGCATAAAACCACGGCCTCAACCTACTGCCAACCTGCAGGCATTTGCAGCAATTTGTTACGTTGTGTAGATGAGGGTTGGGGGCTCGAGGATCTAGTAGGCGATGAGCATGACAACTTTAGAGTCAACCGCCAATGCGGTTAGAGGGGTTTGTGCGATGCGCACACCCGCTTGCTATCGAGCTTGCGGTGCAGCAGATTCTTTCCACTGCAATGAGAAGCTGAGCACATGGAAGGGAGCAACGTGGGGGGCGCAGGCCGACACTTACGATGCTTGCACGAAGGCCAAACTTCGACTGAAGCTGCAGCGTAGCTGGATATGCTGCCAACCAGGCTGTCGCAGCATGTCAGGACACTCGTAGAGACCCTTGTAGCCAGACACATCGTCGAAGACTATGGCATTAAGTAAGTCGTTCTGCCGCATGACTGTGATGCGTGAGCGGGCCGGGATTGTGGACACAGAGAAAGACTGTCGGCTTAATCAGGGGCAAGGCTCACGCTCTGCAGATCAACCGCTGGGTCCGCCCTCAGCTCCTCCCATGTTGAAACTCTCCTACCACTCGGCACTGGCACAGCACACCGAGTTGACCTGGTGTTTGTATGTCGCGGTGTTGGATTGATGGGCGAGCCTCATGTGGTGGATAAAAACACATGTCTTACCTCACACTGAAGCGGGTCATGGTACGTCAACCTCGGAGGCTTGGAGAATGCTTGTTGCCAGTGTCTGGCTGGCGACTGCACCTAGCTTGTGCAGATTCGGAAATCGTGCTGCGAATCTGCATTGTTGCTTTGCAAAGCAGATTGCAGCTGGAAAAAAGCTCTTACCGAACTGTCACAGGGGACTTCATCGACACCAATGAAACAGTGTGGTTGGCCCTCTGCTCGCACCGCCTGGGACACTCGTGTCGGTGTCGGATCACATACTTCCCCGGTTGCATGTAGCTCTGTACTGTACACTTTGCTGGTGGGCAAGTGGTGAAGGAGACATTTCAAAGCGCGTGACCTTCCACACCATTCCGCTCCCATATTGTGTTCCGCGGCGAATCAGGCAGCTTTTGAATTACATCCTGGAGGAAGGACCGCATCTCCTCTCGCATGTCCTTGGCTCTGTCTCCATGGCTTGTGATTAAGACTCGGCAATTCCGCTGGGGTCGCACAGCCTTCTTGGGTGGGCAGCGAGGGTGCAGGAGCTCTCGATGCCCCAGATCTCTATGCTCTGGCCACAACCTGAGCAGCCGGGAGGCTGACACCATCTGCTGCAGCGACTGTGTTGCCAGCAGCCTCACTGGATGTCAATAAGGGGCGCAACAGCGAAGAATCTGCCAATCATCACGCTTGGGTCTGAGGTTGGGCTTCAAACAGCTCAGATGGCTCAACATGGCGACTTTCAGCCAGAATTCGCATGACGCCTCATACGGCCCTATGCTAAGAAAGGATACTGACGCGTGACACCTCGTTGCGCTCGGCCCTAATCTTTTTGCATGCCAAGCGGCCCGGCGACAGCATCACTCTTCCTGAACAGAAACATCACCACCCCAAGTTCCCAGAACATCCACTAACCATGCGGAGTTTGAAGAGGCCCTCACACACTGCGACCCCAAACGCTGAACCCTGAACCGTAGCGAATCTCACGTCACAGGGCCAAAGCGGCTTGAGATCGCCGCGCACTTTGAGCAGTCCTCGGGACTCCAGACCAGCAAACAGCACTGGGTACACAACAAAGTAAGACTAGTACAGGGGCCTGAATATTTTCGGATTTTTGGGACCCTCTCATTTTGGAGCAGGGTCTACGAGCAACCACCATATTCTACCTCTGTTACGAACGTGAAATGTTGACATGTGACCAGGGTCTGCCCATCGGCTGCCAGAAAGCCCCTCCATCCCAGACAATCGCAAGCTGAGGGTGCTTGTTTTGTGTGAGGGGTATTCTTCTCTGACTTTTGAGGACCCTTAACATTCATTCAATTTCAAGTCCCTGTCCACTCGTGGGAGCCCTGGGCAAAGGCCAGCGGGGTTCGTAAAAAATACTATCATCCTTGCTACTAGTACTTCATGCTTACCTTCTTGCTATCAGATCTCCTACGAAGGCTGCAACAGCTGTCCAACGTTGACGAAAGGGCATTCAGGAGACACTTTCAGGCTAGGACCGCAGCTTGCAGGCCACGGAGGAACAAGATCCCTGTTCTTTTTTTTGACACCCCTTTTCCGTCCGCATTGTAAACTTGGTTGGAATTGCCTTACAGACGGAGGTGATGGGAGAGGGACCTGGAATATGGGGATTCACCACTTACACCATCATCAACCCCCTACTAGCGGTCCCTCGACTGCAAGAGAAAGCACTGCAAATTGGTCTCCAGCCTCACTTTCAGTTCACTAAGAAGCTTAGGCAAACATAGGTCAGAACAGAGCAGTATAGCAAGGCTGTCGGCAGACAATCAAGCAGCCCTTCCAAGGGCGCAATACCGAAGCTCAGTCGCCAGAAGTGATCTGTGACCCCTCTCAACATCAATCCCTGTTCAGGATTCAAAGTTGTAGCAACGGTGTCAAGACTAACCCTGAAGGCCTGCGTCCGACAGTTTCCGACAAGCCCCGACGGGTCCTTGCACGAGCTCGCTGACGTGAAGAGTTCCACTCTGGTCCGCATCAATCACCTATGTAGGGACGCATTTCGGTGCTTCGGCGCATCACGCCAAGGAGGGTTTGTTACACTTGAGGGCGGAAGCTCAGACCTTTGGTATGACCGCTGCATGCACCTGGACAGCCGGCAAGAGAAACCACGAAGGAAAATGAGCTGTTCAACACAGACTCAAGTAGGTGCGACAACTCTAGTGTGGCACTCCCTGGAAAAGTCACGTCCATGCGGCTGCAGGTACTGTCGCGTGCTACCGCATCGCACATCGCATTGTGTGAGATGCTGGCAACTAGTGCAAAAGACTGGACCGTCTTTTTTGGGCAGTCTGCTACGACTGGAACCATTGTATTCTCATGGCTTACGCTGAAAGCGATGATTCCCTTCTGGTTCGAGAGTTTGTCGGGAGGAGGGCTGCAGGCTTCACTCATGCCTCGAAGAGATTGGCGCGGTCTGCAGGCAAATCCAAATCATCCATGAGTCCCTGCCGAGAGCGTTGATACCGGCAGCCGTCTCAAACCATGCCAACACTGCGATGCCGCAGCTCGGAATGCCCGATGCTCTTGAAGTGCACACAGCGCTTGCGCAGGTGTCTGACTGACCTTGCCTTGCCTTGCCTTGCCTTG